AAGCCAGAATCTGGGCTTGTCAAGACTTCCGGGTCAACATTGTCTCTGGTTAACTAGGCTTCAGTCTGTCTGCTCCATAAACGGTATATCCAGAGAGTTGATAGCGTCACAGTTGTCAAATTACACACTCATTCCCCTTTGTTAAAAAAAAAAGTACAAAGACATCCCTCTATGAAATCTGCTATCGTACATAAACTGCAAGCATGTTCACCCACACTATTAATAGCCCGTCAGGTTTGTGCCAGTTGCCCAAGCCTTGATATCAGTTGTTTATCTTCATTGCCATCCCACTGAAATAATAATACGAATCACAACTGCTAGCGCTGTTCCCGCTCGGTGTGACGGATAACGTTAATATATTGATGCCGAGTGTTTGTCATTGCGCTTTCATTTCAATGGAGCCAGAGAGGAAGAAATCACTCCTTAACGAGGCCATCCCAAACAAATTTCTCACCCTGCACTTCCTGGACAGATCAAATCGTATTAGCACTCACTAAAATTCTACGGCACTTGGTTGGAATCAAGACAACAAAACTAACAAAAATGCGGGGCGGGGCCAGGGGAGGGGGGAGGAGAAGTTGGAATAGAAATTGGTTCCTTTTCCCCAAAGATTTATTAACCGTATTTATTCTATTAAAGCATAAGTTTGTTACAGTGGCAGGAATTTTTTAAGGTGACAATTACAAACAAACTTCAAGAGCAGTCAATATTCAACTCTGAGGAGTATTTATGAATCGTAACGCGTTAGGAGAGGTCAAGGGAGCTCCTGGCCTAAAAAGTTAAGTATTCCATGTCTCTGCTCAAGATTTGTTTCCAAAGTCTTCCTTATCGGCAGAAGAAGGCAAATGATCCCAGCAAATGTTTTAAATGTGCAGCTTTGCTTATCTCCCGGTATTAATGATCCTTATGGCAGTTGTTGTATTAACCTTATCACACAGAATAGCAATAGGGAGGCCTAATGTGCAAGAAAGGGGAAAAAAACATTCCGTCTAATCTCGGGGACCTTTTTCTAACCCTAGCAATTTTCTGACTGTCAAGTAGTGTTAAAAAAAAAAAAAAAGAAAAGAAACAAAGAAAATGAAAGTTGGGCTTTTACTGAGTTGTTTTTAAAAATCACAAAGAAGCCAGATGTTCTCAATGGGTAACTCACTCAACATGATCCAGCTCGAAGAGAACCCAGATTAGATTATCCACTGAACACACAAGCCTGGTTTTTTGGCTCTGCTAAGGAGTGCTGACCAGGAGACAGGAAGGAAGTCTCCCTCAGGGCTCTGAATCGCTCATCTGAGGACAGGCACCACCAGGCCCCCTGACTGCCCCTGGAAAGTCCTTTTTGATTCGGTCCTGTCCACACGGAGCAGGTTCCAAGACTCCCTCTTTTAATTCCTCCTTAACTTTGACAACAAAAGAACCTTGACCCCAAGACTCTTCTCTCTTTTATCTCAGGGTACTTGAGAAACAACCCAACTTTAAGATTGAAATTAGTATTTTCTCTCAGTCCCGAGTGCTTGCACTCACCGCACACAGCGGCAGGGTGAACTGGGCCCCTTCCACTTCCCATGCCAGGTAATTTTATTTTTCATTATCCCCCTAATGCAGAGCAGGGCCACTGATTACAAAAAAAGCAGTTTGACTCTAGCAATAGGTCTTCTTCAGTAATCTTCACTGTCATGGAAATTCCAGCGGCTACAAGAATAAGAGGCTCAATCCATATTTGCCAGCTCTAATATGAAATCTGTCAGAGCCCAAATTAATGAGTTCCAAATTCCTTACATCACGATAACAGGTTAAGACTGGTCAATTAATTACATAAATCCTTCCCGATTCATTGTGCGTTTGCAGCCCAGGCTGTGTCTAACATTACACCATGACACAAGGCCTTTTGGCTCCTGTTGTTCCGAAGAAAGGCCCCATTTAAGTGGAGGCTGCCTGCCACGGCAAAATGTTAAATGTCACACGTTAAATGTGCACTTTTCGGTAATTGCTTTTGTTAAAAAAAAAAAAAAAAAAAATTAAAGTACAGAGCTCCTAACACACCACCGTGCCTGAGGGCTGGGGCTCTGCTGAGCTCCAGCTGGGCAGGTACCTGTGTTCTGGATCCAACAATTCAGACTCTCCTGTTCCCGTGCTTTGCACCAAGAGGCCAGAAGGTTGTGTTTGTGAGAGTAAACCCAGTTCCCCTAAGATCGATAGAGGCAAAAATAGATGGTTTAAGATTCCCCCTCTGTTCTCTCTCTCCCCCCTCCCTCTCTCTCTTCCTCTCTCTCTCTCTCCCTCAAAGATTTAAGGTCTGACACCAGCTTCTCCTGTCAGGCACTCAGGGCACTATGAAACGTACAGCCCACGGTGGACTAGTTAACTCGAAAAGGAAGGCACATTATACAAGTGTATACGGTACACGTGGAGTTGTCACCAGAAAGAGTGCCCCTGATGGCTTTGCTATCTAGACTTGTACCTGATATGCACCTACAGAGGGTAGCATTGAGGATAAGGAGAGCCACAGAGTCATCCGGTCCAAATGTTTTGATTGGTTAGAAACAAACACAAAAGTCCAAATGAGCTTGGAGTCACAGCCAGGAAGACCACGACTCCTAGCGCCGTCTCCCCTTCACCCCAGCGGATTGCTTTGTGGCCGGATGCAGAGATACCGTTTCCTGAACCATCATCTCAGGGCAGGCTTGGGGTCTGGCGAGCACAGAGCAGCAGATGATGCTAGCTCTGGGCAGAGCCTGCAGGGTACCAGCTGCTCCGTGCTGCCCGACAGCGACCCCGTCCGTCCACCCGTGGCCTTGCTCCACCGGTCATCCTCAAGTGACCTGGCTCGGCAGCTTGGGGGACCTGTATCTCCCCACGCGTGACACACAAGCTTCACCCAGGACCCAAGAGCACGCGGTTCTTGTCGAGAGGCAATCGTCACGCCACCAGGCACAACCGGATCAGACAAGAGAAGGACTTTAGCGCACTGGGCCCCGGCCTGGAAGGTTCCAGGCTCCTGGGGTGCGCGCACAGCCCAGCGAGGGGTCAGCTAAGGCTGGAGCGGACGGAGCCATGTGCACGCTCTGGGCGGGAGGCGTGTGAAGAACAAAGGCCCACGTGCCTCTCCCACCCGCTCCCGGCACGTGCGCGGAGGCTTTGTTTGGTCCTCACTGTCCGGATGCGGGATGCCGGCAGTGCCGGAGGCAGGTGGGCCGTGGTAAATCGCTCTCCACCCGCCCACTCCAAATGGCTTCTCCCCACCCCCCTCACCCGGTTCCGCAGAGCAGTTGCTATGGGTTACCAGGGCGGTTGCCATGGGTTACCGACCGAGAAAGCGGGAGCGTGCGTGGGATGGCGGGAGCGAGCGTGCGGGCTGCTGAGCCGAGGCCCACGGGGGTGGGGGCTGAACTCTAAAGAAGGCCCAGGTAAGAGACGCAAATCCACACGGTCTGCCACGCAGAGCCTGCCTGCTTCGGCAGCGTCCCCACTTCCCCTTAGCTGAAGGCCGGATGGACTCCGCAGAAATGTTTGTAGCTTTATTTTCTATCTTTCGAAAATAAGCCTTTAGCACTTCGAAGAAAAGGGGTCATAAACTACCAGGGTTTACGTAGCTAAAATAAATAAGTGTCCAATGCACTGTTCTCAACAAGGACCTAAAAGTTTCCAGCAAAAGGGAAACAATTGTTTGACTTAAAAGGGACAATGGTGACTCAGCTGTAAGATGCTTACAGCCAAGAACAAAGCCCCAAATCCGCTGTAAATGTATCAAAATCCAAAGGAATTTTTTTCTTTACGTGCTAATTTTTTAGCTTCATTTTATTAAAATGTCTGCATCTCTTGCGTTGACTTGCAAAGAAAACTATCATGCCGTCAATGAATGTCAGGTTGCCACAACTAAGTTCAGACATTTTATATTTGAAAATGTGCTCATAGCAAATTAAATTATTTTCTTCCAAAACAAAACTGTATTGAAATAAATATTTCCTCTGTGGAAAAGATGCTACATTGTATTTATTCATTGGGTACTAGCTAACTAATTTAAATATTAAGGGGAAGACGATTCAGAAACAGAATTAAGCCTTCCTAATTTTTTTGCACTTAAAAAAAAATTAGGCCTTTCATGAAAAAAGGCTCAGTCCTGAAAACTTTATTGTACACATTTAACTTATTGATGAATCCTTAAATCACACACACAAAAAGGCTGATTTCAAAACAACACCCAGCTACCACTGTTGGATATAACATGGCTAGGCTAAACAGATTTAATTCTTTATGCCATATAAGAAACTTTATGCTTATACTTCCCTATGTTGAAAATAATGCAAATGACTTGTTTGTGTTAAACTGTTAAACAACATTTGAGGTGGACCTGAAGGGCTCTGGCAGGATACTTAGTATTTTAAGGAATGACAAGTGATTAAAGACAAACATTTGTGGTTTCCCCTAGTGGTTTTTTAAACTGAAAGTTTTAACTAGAATTTGAATCTCTTTTTAGCAAATGAAACTTTAAAGTCTTAAGTAACAGGTTGTCGGCTTTCACTGTCAACGCCTTCAGCTACCTATAAAGCCAGCTTTAAAACGAAATACATAGGATTGTAATCGTCCAGGTGTACAGGTCTACCCTGGCACAGTATTCTAGAAAAACAGGGTTTGGCTGAATGTCAATCACAAGGCATCCAGAATTAGGATTCCTAAAGCTTAATTCACATTAAAAATAGCACTAAGTGTCTATTTAGTTACATGTGTAGTTTACCTGTTTTCCTACAGACATGAAAATATAAAACAAAGCAAGTGACCCATTGGAAACTGAGGTTCATCTAAGTATCTCAGCCCCAGTATGAAGCAGCAAGTTCTCAGATGTTGTAACAGTTCAAGCTGAGCAAATCCAACTGCAGAAGTCTTATCAAAGCCCTTCAATAAGACATCACCAGTAATTGAAAATACACTGAACTTACAGCTAAGTCAGAAGAGATACATTATCTCATGTAAAATAAGTGATCCAACAAAGGTTTTTTTTTTTCATGTTTAATGTGAAAACAATGACCTTGTAAAGTTCACAGAGCAAATATTAAGCATCACTTAATATTAACTTTGATGGTTACATGTCATCAAGAAATAGTATGATAAACTGGTGGCACATGTATGCTTTTCAGAAATGCTAAGAAACACAAATGTTGTGAATTCACATATGCTACTGAGGAATGGGAACTACATACAGCAAGATAAGCAGCTGCTGAATGGTTTTCTTCCTGCAGTAAAATAACGACTATCAGAAGACAGGGTAACAAGATATACGATACAAAATCAAAATATTTACAGAAGTACTGTTCAGACCAAACTTAAAAAAAAAAAAAAAAACAAAAAAAAAACAAAAAAAAAAAAAACACGAAATCATTCTTCTTCCAAATTAAATTTTCTGTTTCTTGTTTTCACCAGTTCTCTGAAACAAGCATTTCAAAAGACAATTCAATAACTTTTCACTAATACAGTAACTCTTAAACACCCAAGTAAAATGGCTGCTTTTTGCAGCAGCTTTTGCACCCAGTGAGAGTGAGAGCCATTCACTGAAAGCAACAAGTTATCCCACTTCGATGAAAATACCTTCTGCTAGCCCCCAGAGAGGAACAAGCTCCATCCTGACTGGAGAGGACTTAGCTAATTATCCCAGGAAAATGCTGCCTCATCTGCAACTAGAAGTTCATAGTGGACGCAAACCATCTTATCTTTGAGCCAGTTAAAAAAAAAAAAAAAAAAAAAAAGCTATTTTATTCAAATTAACAATCTTCGGGTAGATACCTAAAAAGAAAAGGCTTCTAAAACATGACCATGAGCTCTGACATTAGCAACCTGATTTCCACTCCAAAATTACTGAAATATTTATGTGTAAAATTCACTCTTGTTAAAAATAAAAAATAAACTCTAACTTAAAAATAGTGAGCAGCAACGGCGAACAAAAGTTACCTGTTGATTTTTTTATGCACGTTTTTTTTTTAAATGTCAGAAGATAAATCATAAGCTGTGACTGTAATTACACAATAGTAGACGAATGACTTGTTGCCCAAAAGCACATTTAAGCTGATTTGGGACAGTGAGGATATGTTTCTAAAGCTACATATGGCAAACTTCAGCAGAATTACGAACACTTCTTCTGGTTCTCCCCCACTCCCCAAGATGTAAACATTATTTTAGTACGTACATCTCTATTTATAAGACACATTTTCCATTTACCTGTGATATACTGGAAAGCTTAAATACTCTTAAATATTTCAATCAAATACCTAAAAGCAAAGTATTTTCCAGAGTAGGGGAAGTCTCCACAAAACCAGAGCCAAAGGGCCAGGCTCCCGGGCCGTGACTGTACCCTGGCTCCTGCCTTTACAGTAACTTCCTCATTGATACAGAAAGAATGCTCTGTCCAGGTTTTGAATGCTACCGGTACACCTAGCTACTTAAAATTCAGTTAAGAGCAACTGGACGGATATATATATATATATGGAGATACATATATATATATCCCATAACTCATTTCACTTGAGAGCAGGATCATATTTACAAGTATTATATGGCAATAAAGGGTTGTATAGCATTCACAGATCTTATAGCTTCATACAGAAGCTTGGCTACAATTAAACAACATAAAAATACTAGCACTAATAACCAACCACTTTAAGAATTTAACTACCTAGGATAGTGACAGTGGCATTAGGTAAGAATCTATTGTGAGCAAGCATTCTTTCCCGGCTGGGCACAATTTTGTTCTAATGTGGTAGCCCTAGAATTCCTTCTCAGGACTCCTGCAGAGCTGGGCTCGTTTTACATCCATGTGAACTGCTGTCATCACTACTGTGTCCAAGCCCAGAGGATGAACTGGAAAAGAAGAGAGGGGGAAAATAATAAAAAGAGGAAATTGGTTTTCACAACACACTCAAAGCCTGAGTAACAGAGGAGAACTTTAATTATCTCCAGTCACAAAGAGAGACAGGAAATTTGGACTTTTAATTAGCCATTTGGAGTGCAGTTGGATATTTTTTTAGCTAGATAATTTAAACGCGAATAATTCAAGTCTGACTAAATGAAAGTCACATAATCAGAATGCAGATAATTGAATTTCTGCTGCATTCATTAATTCAGTGTGGAGGTGTGTGTGAAGACCACTCTGATGGGCTGTCACAGCTCAATAAAATCTCAGTCAATTAATTTTTTCATTATCTTAGTATTACATCAACAAAAAGCAAAATGTGCATGTCTCTATGTGCACGCACACAGACACTATGTGTTATATAAATATGCCCGTTAAAGCACAAAGAAATACCTTTCTGAATCATAGTCTACATCGTTGTCTTTTTTCCCTTCTTCATCTTCTTCGGGGAACCGTCTATTCATCAAGGCAAACTTGTGAATTGCTTCTTCCACCGAGTACTTGGTCTGCCCAGAAACACATGCTTCAATGTCCTCGGAGTTCAGGTGGCTCTGCAGGAAGAGGTGGAGGCTGCTGTCGGAAAGCAGCAGTGCGTTCTGCAGGACTCTGTGCCAAAGTTAAAAAAAAAAATGAAAAAGAAAAGAAAGAAAATAACTGATGAGCAGGCACGGGCAGAGGTCGGCTAGAAGACAGGAAACCCTTACAGCTGCCCTGCTGATCTCTCCGCTAGGAGAACTTTGCCCGCTGCTGGGCTCTGCCCACTCACGGGATGAAAGCGTAATGCTAACTTTTATTCAATTATTTGGACTCTTAGGTGAGTAAAAACATGAGGCTAATGGTTAAGATCATTTGCTGAAAGAATAACTTCAAGGACATTTCTTCAATTTAACCATCTGTTAAGACCATGTGGATTAATTATGGGAATATTCTGCTTATACGGTGATAGAAATTTATTCTACTTTTAAAAATTTATGGCCAACAGCATGTCAGAGCAGCAGTCTTTACTGGGTAGGCTGTCACAAACATCCAAACTCTCAACCACAGTTCAAATTATATGGAAAGTCCAATGGTCTGAGTGCTCAGCACACTGTGCACTTTAGAACTTTCCTGGTGCCGTGCGTACATAGATTCCTGTTGACAAGAGCTCCTCTGAGGTGGCTTTCCCAGTACCTAAAGCTGACTGGAAACGACTGCAAAATCTTCAGCAGCAATGCATATCTATGTTGTCAGCACAAGCAACCAAGTAAACCTGATCCCAAGCCATTTTCCCAAGTAAGAGAATTTGGTGGTAAGGACACACTATTCATCCGACAGGACAGACTGAAGTGTATTATAAAGACAGCACAAATTTCAGCGAAAGCGTCAGAGCCAGATGGAGGGTTAAAAACAGACCCCACAGAAGGAATCTAACATGGTCAAATGTATATCGTCAACCATGTGCATGTTTTTCTGGAGTGTCATAGAACAGGAAATCAGTATCACCTCACACTTAAATAAAAACTCACTTCCACCCTTTTAGCAAATATTTTTGATAGTTGATATTTAAGTCTCTATTAACAGCTCAATGGTGCTATTACAGGATATCCCAGGGCCAGAACGTAGGCAGTAAAAGGAAGACACTACAACGGTACATGAGTCATTTTGTCTGACGTGGGATTTTCTCATATGGAGACTATGAAAACGAGATCATACATTTCAGATCAAACAAACCTTGCTTTATACCTAACATGTTTAAACAAGCAACAAGAAAAGAAATTCTCTTCTGGCCATTAATGCCAAATTTGGTTAAGTACCAAGTGCACCACAACACCATACCCTTTTCTTCCAAATAGCACAGTTATTTCTTGAAGGTAGATGCCGACAAACACGCCAAGTCCCCTTTGCTTCAACAGACTTTTAAACGGAACTTGAAGGGAAAGGGGCTCTTTAATAAGAGCAGAAGCAAGACTATCGTGCTTTGCAAAGAGAAAATCACAAGCAAAGGCTCTAAGTGCCTCAGCTCTGCATGGCCTCTGCCCTGGTCCTCCCAGAAGACGGCCACACCGCACAATAAAGGCTCATTTGCCACGAAGTAAAAGCCTTGGACTGCTCTAAAATCTATCTCCCTCATTTATAAATGCTTCCCACTCGTGTCCTTAATAGTTCAAATCAGGAGAGAGTTTTATGACACCAAGGCCCAGATAAGAGCTCAGACCCTCTGTGAAGCCCAAGCCCAGTGTTCCCTGTGGCCTCCTGTTGGTAGCCACCAGCCAGCAGACAAGTGGCTGTTCATAGGATTGTACAGACGGCTTTGTTTCTGCTGGAAATGTGTTTTATTTTCTCTATAAAATAATGGGTGATCTTTAAAATTGATTTTAGATGGTTTGAGGCATTACAGCACAGAAGTAATGTGCACTAATGGCAACGATATTGGACACAAATTCATTTTAGCTTTATTTCACGTCTGAAGCAATTCTGCTGAGCCCTGAACTGCTCACGTGCTGTTATTAACTGGCTGGGTACCTAACACATGGGTACCGCAAACAAAAGTGATCAGAGTCCAGGCTGATGGAGACCTCAAGGCTACTGTCCCTTTTCTTCTGCTATAATTCAATTTCCAATTTGACTGTGCACTGGGCGCCTTGGTTCCCAGTTTTCTGCTGAATACTGCCACCTGGAGGACACAGGGTAAAAAGCGAGAGAACAGGCCTCCAGTAAAGCGGCGGGGTTGGGAGGTAATGCTCATCCACAGGGCCCGGGGAAAACCAGCGTGCATGCTGAGCAGGGGGGATTTGTTGTTGTTTTGTTTTGCTTTAATTTTATTTTTTGTGTCTTGATAGCCAATCTTAGGCCGCCAGTTCTGCTCAGGTATGAATTTGAAAGAAACAAAGAAAAAAAACTACTTTAAGGTCTATTCATATTTTCATTTTGTGGTCAGATAGTTTACAATGTAAAATTTAAAGTGTAAATCTTAGGAGTCCGGAGTGGTGGAACTCCTCTACAGTCCCAGCCCTTAGGAAGCTGAGGCAGGAAAATCAGAAGTTCCAGGCTAGCCAGAATACCACTGTGAGACCATCTCAAATAATAGCAATAATAACAGTAATAAAAATAATATGTTAAATCTTTTTAACTTTAAAAAATGGAACCTTTGGAAGGAATGGAGGGCATCAGTCTCCCCCCTCCCCCCCCGTGACATTTGTGTTCTGGCCTATCACAGGTGCCTACCACCATCTTGACAAAATCCTTTGCTTTCTTTGGTCATATTTGTGCCACATTTTCCACCAACAAATCAATCTGATTATAGAAATGTAATCTGTAAAACAATAAACTGTAATTGTTAGAAGCCTCCATAAAAATAAATGTATAGGGTGGGAGGCGCTTGGGAGGCAGAGGCAGGCAGAGCTCTGTGAGTTCAAGGCCAGCCTGGTCTACAGAGTACCGTTTTAGGACAACCAAGCCCACATACTGAGACCAGCTCAAAAAAAAAGAAAAAAGTAAATAAATAAACAAGTGATTAAATGCATATTATTTTCAAGCCTTTACAGCCGGAGTTTCACATACCAGCCTACAGAATTTTAAAGAAATTTTAAAAAGCGTATTTATAATGCAAGTCAGAAGTTGCTCCCAGCCCAACAGTAACTATGCTAGACGAAGCAAGGCCTGCTTTTCCTCCAAACTGGACACAATGACGTCTGGTTTCCCCTAACGGCATCTTATTAAGCGTGTTGTATCGTGGTTCAGTGGAAGACCAAATAAAGCACACAAAACCATTTAATTCTACCAAATGCCCTGGCTCTACGGAACCGCCCATATAATGACAGCCCCCACCCTGCTGCACACATCTGGGTAGCGTGGCTTGAGGTTGGAAAGTTACCTCAGCCTATTCACTTCTTACCAAGAGAGAAATAATTTCAACCTATGCATTTTCATTGAAAAATATTCATAATCTATGCTGTAGTGCCCTCTATTGAACAGAAAGATTTATAAAAGAGTTGTGTGTATCATGTGTTTGTGTGGGGAGGGTGTGTGTGTGTGTGTGTGTGTGTGTGTGTGTGTATCTGTGTGCATGCCCATGTGTACGTGCCTTTTGTTCAAAACCCTCAACTTTCCCACCATAGTCAGGTGTGGTGGCGCACACCCAGCATTTGAAAAGTAGAGGCAAGAAGATGAGAAGTTTGGGGTCACCTTACACTGCTAGTTCAGGGTCAACCCGGGCTGTCCCAAAACAACAAAAAGAAGTGGGTAAAAATCACGTAAAAGCACAGCAGAAAGCCTGTCTGCGGGGTGTGTATGCTATTGCTGAGATGGCTCCTGTTGGTAGTGATTAAACCGAAGACGTTAGTAGCGGTTTCTAGCACAGCTGGAGACTTACCCTAACCTGTAGCTTCATGTCTCTGTTACTATTATAAGAGCTTACAATTTAGAATCAGGAGAAAGACTACACGGAGAAAATTGCAGTCACAAGGGAAGAGGAGTACTGGACAAGCCCACAGTCACAGGGGCCAGTTCAGCGGGCAGCGACCGCTTGGCTGATCACAAACAGCCGTCCCCGGAACACGGGACCTCCACTGCCCTCCAGTCTGTACAGCTGAGATGCCTCCCGCCTGCCGAGACCGGAAGGGACAGTGACAAGGCACCCACCATGTCAAGCGTGGGTAAGACCAACACATGATCTCTGACAGCCAATCAGAGAAGCAAGTCTCCAATTCCTCTGCGAGGGGAATTAGAATATTGCCTGAATATGCATTGTGCCCTTATTAAGTACATATTATTATACAGATGACCTTAAAATGAAATTTTCATTTTACATCATGCACACATACATATGCAGAGATATTCCGCTTTGATGGAATTTTTAACATCCTCAAAATTTACATAAAAATCAAAAAACCAGGACATGTCACATTTTAACGCTATCAATCCCAGGCCTCCCACCCAGCGAGGGACCGGCCTCGAATGGATGGCCCTGCCTCACAAGAGCCAGTGATGCCTCAGAGGATGCCAAGGTGAGGCCAGGCAAAGGGCTGCCCCAGGTGGCTCAGGGCTGAATGCAGGAGGGGTGCCGGGGTGAAGGCATGGGTGGTTTCCACGCATGCCCAACCCAGAATAAACAGGAGAGCTGTGCCGGGGAATGGGCACAGAAAGGAGGGCTCAGCCCCTGGGCCTAGTCCAAAGCCAACTCCATGGGCTCGGTGGGGGTGCGAGCGGGACACGCGCGAAGCTCGAAGACCGGAAGACATCCTGTGGAAGTCTGTTGCCACCTCCCTCCGCCAGGCTTGGCTACAAACACCTCTACCCACCCTTATTTTTCTTTTTAACTTTTAAATTAGTGCTCTTCGGTTTATTCTGTGAGTTGTCAGAGACTGACGCTCACGGGCTGCAGTGGAGTGAACGATATCACGGGAAAGCTGTCTGCTCCGTGACCCTCGGATGAAAATCAATAGCCAGGGTTTTTCTCAATTTAAGGCTTACTTATTTTTACTGTTTGTGTATGAGTGTTTGGTCTGTTTATATGTATATGCGCCACATATATGCCTGGGGCCCAGGGAGGCTGGGCATGGGCTTTGAGTCCCTTGGAACTAGGGTTTCAGAGGGTCGTGAGCCACCATATATATAGGTGCTGGGAACTGAACCGGGACCTCTGGAAGATCAGTACATGCCCTGACTACTGAACCATCCCACTGAATCATCCCTCCAGCTCCCAGATCAAATTTTAACTAGTTCAGACACAGCACCAAGAGCTCCCAGTGAGACGGGACGCTTCTAGAGAGTAACAGCTCAGAAGCTCTCTGCTCAGTCCTGTCCTGGGTCTGTGCCCATAGCCCTGGCACACAGCGGTGGGGTGACGGCTCGGCACACGCAGATCCTTTCCAAGCAGGTAATTATCTGACCCACACAACAACCAGCGAGCGAGGACACCAGGGCACTGGCTGTACCCCTCCACTCCACAGACATCCAAAGGAATTAAAGGCCTCAAAAGACTCCAAGTTCCATAGCTCGGAAAATACCAAGAGCCAGGACTGATGGGAGATTAGACCCAAGTTCTTTGAGGTCTCTTGGGAGGATGCTCTTCCCTCTGACTTACGTGTCTAACAATGAATGCAGAGCCAAAGGGTACACAACACCTCTGCAGACGTTGGCACACTAACGGCAGGAGCACCGGTGATTAAAAACAGTGCAGGAGCAGAGCCAGCACGGAGGCGCACACCGGTGATCCCAGCCATCTGGGCAGGCGACCAGGAGTTCAGGGCCAGACTCAAGTACATGGTGGGTTTGAGGCCACTCTAGAGAGCCTAAGAGCCCATTTCAAAAGACCAGCTACAGTGGCATGATCAGTGCCCTGCATTTACCTAAATCAACACAGGCGCTTGCTGTCCCCGAACCTGCCATCACCCAGGGGCTCCCCGCTGCTAGCCAGGGCTGTGGCATTCATCTGCTCCTGCCCAAACCTCCCAGGTGGTGGCCAGGCTGAGGCTTCTCCGGGGATAGCATCTGGACTGGAGACTGCTCTGCAGACATGAGCTAGATCTTAAGGGAAAAGCCATCAGCCAGCCACCTGTGTGCCTCAGAGACAGCAATCAACAGAACAGCCCATAAAGAAAAAATCAGAAAAGTCCTGACCGGCTCTTTGCTCTGACACACTTGTGACACCACAGAGGACACTGCTAGGATGTTTTCAGAGGACGCAGCTCAACAAATAGCTATACCCCATACAGCCATTTACATACGTATACGTGTGTGTTCCTCCGAGCTCTTCATAGCAATGTCCCTAGTGTCTGTCTTCCCCTGCCCTCACTCAGTACACAAGCTTCTAGGTTTCTGCATGTCCCAGTGACCTCTTTGAAGGAAAGGCACCATGTCAATCTGATAGAAATAAATATTAATATTCATGTGCATACTTAATACCCAGGCCCTTCATAAGCGAGCCATATGGGGGGAAAAGCAGCGTATTATTTCAAACCAGCTCGAGGTCCTACCCAGTGAACTCAGAGATCATTTCAGATCCCAAAGCCACTGGAAGAATGGACACTAGGGGCCCTGCCTCTAACTGGTAACCCACCTGACTCCGCCTACTCCCTATCTAGAAGATGGGAAAAGAAGCTCATGGCTATTACAGCCCCAAGCTATAACAGCACTAAAATAGTAATAACGCTCAGCACTCGAAAATTAGGTTGACAGACACTGCTGTGCCTTCCACTCTTTAGCCTACTTAACTGTCTCAGTCCTCACTGTCCCCGTTTTATAGACGGCACAACAAAGGCACAGAAAAAGGAAAAGATTTGCCTGACTCCCAGCTAGTAAAGTGACAGAACCAGAACTTGAAGCCCAGAAGCCTCGCATCGGAATCTGTGTGCAGGCCAGTGCGGAACAGCCCTCCTCTCCCGGCCTTCCAGAGAGCGAGTGAGACAAAGGAGGTCCTAGTGGCGTGGACTCAGGCAGCTCTTGGGGAAGTGTGGCCCATCACAGAAACAGAGGCTACTCGGACAACAGGCACTTGACAAAGGACCCCTGCAAGGAAGAACTAAGCCCTTCAGCCAGCAAAGAGCCTTCAAGGCCCTGATACAGACGATTCTGGCCGGTCAGTACTTAATGCTGTAACTGAAGCCAGTTTAAGACAAGTGCTTCTTGCAAATAATAGGGCACACTTACTTCCTGAAAAATACTACCCCTGTCAGCCAGACTCCTGAGTAACTTGTTTCTGCTTTACTTTTGTTGGCTGTTTGCACTGGGTTGGTTGTCGTTATTGTTATTTGGGGGTATTTGTTTGTTGCATTTGTTTGACAAAGACTGGCCTGGAATTCACTGCAAAGCCTCAAATTCACAGAAGTCCTCCTGCTGCAACCTCATAAGTTCCTCCATTAGAAGTGTAAGCTGCCACCGTATTTCCTTCACTCTTACAAGCCCCTGTGTTGATTCTCTGATCCAGTCATCCATTGTTTCCAGAATGCTCTGTTCACATCTGTACCATTAAATATCAACCACAAGATGGCACTCTAATACAGGATATGAATGCACATGGTCCTCAGCCTCAGAGATGCAGCTCCTGCCCAGGCTCCCTCTCCCCACATCCCCAGCCCGGGTACAGACCGTTACTCACTTTCTGAGGAAATCTTCCAAGCCCTGGCGGCGCTGGTCGACATGCTGGCGGTTGTTCATGTTGAAAAACAGGTTTTTAGACGGAAGCTCTGGCACTTGTCTGATGAGAAAGAAAAAAGTCAATCACCACATCAAGGTGCACGGTAATGACCATCACACAGCTATCACCTAACTGTTGCTGCAGAACGGTGACGTAAAGGAAAATCTGTCTTTACGTCTTTACACTTCTGGGGCCGTTCACGATCGGCATCCATAAAAGCTGGATTTTAAATTCAGATGCAGTGGGCACAGAACTGACTAGAGGAAGCAAGCCTACACCCTGTTCTTAACTCGTGCATCCTTTTTTTTTTCTTAACTGGTGCGTCTTAATGCCATCAACTTCCAGTTCCAGACCGTCACGACGTGCTCTCGGTAATTTAAACTACGAATCACTTACACCAGCAACGCATTGCTTTGGAGCCTCTGCCTCAGCCACACAAATTCTCTGTACCTTCTTCGTACACAAGACGTTTTCATTGTAAAACACATGCTGTTGGTCTGCACAAAAAGAGAAGAGCGTGAGCCTCACCCAAGGGAAGCAGCGCCTTCTTTTATGTCCATAACTCATAAGGCAACTCTCCCTCTATAGGTAGGATGAAAACATGAAACGAGCAGTTCCGTTTATGTGGGCACGGCAAACCCTTACCTGTAACTTGTCGGTCTCAGCCCTGAAGAAGCCACAGTGACATGAATGAGCGGGGTCAGCCCTGGGCCAGCATGGCCAAACCCTGACCACAATCCTGAAGGGGGCCTGTGCTCTCCCGACTACAAGCATTGTTTCCAAAGGCGGGTCATTAGGAAATAAATTCTGGGGGGGCACAGTAGCCCACAGCATCATCTCAGACTCAGGCGGCTCAAAACCAGCCTAGGCTACACAGTGAGACCCTAACTACACACACACACACACACACACACACACACACACACCCTAAAAAGTAAAATGCTCAGGGGCAGCCACTGCGTTTTCAACACCACCCCAAAGCTTTTGTGGTCCAGGGCTGACTTCCCACAGCCCTCCCCAAGGCATCGCAGACGTGGGCATCTCAAGCTGGGTGTCACCAGTCCCTGGGAATCCTGAAGTCGCTGCTCACCTAGACATTGCCTCAGCCCACTAGACAATGACAGGCGGAAGGTGGTCTGGGTCAGGGACACAGGGGTGGGGTTCGGCGGCATCCCCTGTGACGGGCAGACATAAACGTCAACCCTGGTTCTCCCCCAAGAAAATGACGTCAGCTCTAGTTGCCCCGAGCTGGGGGAACAGGGCGGATATGGAGATGGACAGAAAGCACCTGGCGAGCGTGGTCAAGGCTATTCGTTACCAGCTGTGTGTCACCCTGTAGCAGCTCTGAGACGGTCTTGGGGGAAAATAGGCCCAGAGTCCGCAGCCGAGCCTAAGCCACAGTGTCACTCCCGTGGGTAAAACGCACAGCTGACAAACATCTGCGCCTGGCCACCTCAGCTGAGTGACTCCTAAGGACTCGGGAGGCTGGGGCAGGAGGAGTGCCACCTGTCTGGGGCCAGTCTGGACTACAGAGGAAGATCCTGTCTAAACTCTCAACCACCCCTACAAACAAACAAACACACAAAAACCTCTATATATCCATTTTAAATGAACACCCACTTCGTAATCATTACATTCCTAAATGAAAAGTTAACTTTTGCTACTAAGATTCACATTATTTCAAAAAAACCTATCCTGCCAATGAAGTTCAGGCATTTTCTTGGAAATCTGAAGGACTGTGTGCAACTGTTCATAAGCAGTCCCCACGAAACACAGGGCAACATTCCCGGATGCAGAGAGGTGAAGACTCACCTGCCAAGGCCAGGGCACAACATGCAGCCACTTACGCCGTTACCAAAACAGAACCTACAGGAGCCGCCAATGGGCCAATGGCGTGCTGCAGTACAACTTCAAAGCCCGCCACTGCTGACTCCAGTGCACTCCTTGGGGACTGAGGCAGGCTTGGTCGCAGCGGAATTAGGGCCCTAACAAGGCCCAAGCAGGCATCCTCCTGCCACTGCCTCCTCAGAGAGTACCAGGACACCGCAGGGTCTTACTGCCAGTGCAGGCTGGAACCATTTAAACCCAGTTTCCCAGAGGCTCACGATCACCATGTGCGTCGGTAACAAAAATCCACCTAATACCGAAATCAGCATAAGGTCCATTTGTGAGTCCTTCAACCACAGGGTGGGGTGAGGAGAAGATACTCAGGGGACCAGCCAGCTCCGACATCTGCTGGTTTATAACCCCAAATACATACGGGCATTCCACACTCACCCCGTACTACTTCCCATGAGGTTCATCTGAACGGATTCCCAGCTGAGGCCCTCAGAGCCAGCTAACGGAGGCTCGCCAAAAGCCTCATCCTTTCACCCACTTTGAACTGTATGCCACAGGAGCAGGTCTACACTAGAGCGGGCTCACTTCCTCATGCTTGTCTCTGCCTCCACCAAGTCACGATTTACTCATCTGACTGTTACTTCAGAGAAACACCGCCAAAATGTTATGGCTCATGAGTCCAGGTGGATTTCAGAATTCCTATCATGCGATTTATTAGCACAGAATAATCTATCTATACTTCATCCCCCCCTGAAAATAAGCAAAAGTCTCGATGCCCTAAAGTACATGATGAGGGCTCACCAACATTCTGAGGCAGTTAAAGGGCAATTAAATAATTTCCTTTTGTTTCAAATGCTTTTTTTTTGGGGGGGGGATAGGGGGGAGGAGGGGGTGGTCAGGGATTGCAACAGGTTCTCATATAGACGGAGCTGGCCCTGAACTCACTATATAGCTGAGGATCACCTTGAGCTCCTGATCCTCCTGCCTCTACCTGACATGCTGGGATCGCAGGTGTCACCGCCATTTCTGGTTCAAATGTCTATTCCTTTTTTAAAATATTTATTCACTTAACTTCCTGTATATGTCTATGCACCACAAACACACAGAAGCCTGGGAAATTCAGAAGAGGGATGGAACCCCTAAAACTGAGGTTACAGCTGCTGTGAGCTGCCATGCGGGTGCTGGGACCCAACACTCTGGTCCTGAGCAAAAGCAGAAAATGCTCTTAACTGCTGAGCCATCTCTCCAGCCCAGATGCCTGTTGTTATAAGCCCATAATTTTGCACACAGAATGCATCTTCGGTGTGAGCTTTTGAGTAAAACAAAAGCAAAATAACAACACATACAGCAATGGCTCAGAGAGAAAAAGGAGGGGAGAGGCAGTTCAGAGTTTTTTACGTCGAGTATGTTCTAAAATGGTGACTCCTGAAAGAAAAGGTTTTAGAGCGGTGTTCAGACCTGCCAGGCGACAGGGAATGGTGACCATATGTTACTTCACCGTGTCGGGTACCTCAGATCCCTGCACCAGAGACGGCCCTGGATACACCAGATCTGGACCAAGTGGGACAAGAAAGTGAGCGTCTCCAAGAGTTAGGAGCTAGCAAACTACAGGGTCTGAGGCCAGTCTGCCAGTAGCAGCAGGAGCAGCAAGCAGCAGGTTCACGGCAGCAAGCAGCTGCCCCCATGCAGGACAGGCTTGCTGACCTTGTTCACTGTGAGCACAGCAGGCTCCGCCCCACACAGGCACGTGGGAAGCTTGCGGGGTGGGGGGGAGGGGGACAGGATGTCACTTCTAGCTGCTTACTCTTTGTGCTAATGACTCAAAAATCTAGACTAAAGCAAACTAATTGTACATATTCATTCCCATAGTTCTGGTTCTCCATATAAGACAGTTACAACAAAGTATAAAGGCACATAATGAATAAAAATGCTACAATGAAACCCACCACCATGGGTTAATTTAAAATGGCTACTACTATATTTCTTCTCCCCCAAAAGTCCATGTCCCCTCAAAGCTTACTATTTACCAAATCATGTTACCTCGAAATATAGTATCACAAAGAAATACCACTAATACTTTGTAAGATACCTTTTAACCACTAATGTTTAAAGTATTCACACCTTCATAAGTAAAGGTGATAAACACTGAAATATTAATACTTTTAAACAAGTACAATATGAGCTTCAAATAAGCAATCCTTCAACTTCAAGAATCATCTTACTGCTTCATTTGTGATACAAACTTAGCTGGGATTATCCCAATTCAGTTCTTTGAATTATGGAGAATTTTTTTTTTTTTTTTTTTAGTTCTTAGTATCATTATGTCATATAAAATGTTCACCACTTAAAATCCCATTTCCTAATGGCTGCGTACTTACATGAATACAGATCTCATAGTCGATGTAAGAGTGCCAAAAGTCCTCCTTCTGAATCCTGGGGTCCCGGACCCAGACGCTTACAAACTCCTGTAAGGGCATTGGGAACAAAGAACAGTGTCAGGATTATGGAAAAGGCTGGCAGGCGTTGAAAGGGCAGAACCAGAAATACCAGCCAGGGTGCTCAACGCCCCTCGGAAAACAAGAAGTAGACATCATGAATCAGATGTCACCGGAGTCCAGAAAATACTTCGCCACAAATGGAAATTTTTAAATAATGCGAAACGGAGCAGAGTGCTGATGGAAAGTGTTACAGGTATCTCAAGAGGATCAAGAAGATACATTCTAAAGCTGGTTCTTCATGCTCATTCGTGAAAAATAAGTTGCCCTTTGTCTCAGCTTTTCAATGCAGCAGCTGCTTATATCATCTCGAATATCTATGACCTGTCAAGCAAATTGCTTTCTAGGCCACAAATAAAGAAGCGTAACAAAGGTTGGGTGAAAAGCAAGTACCAGGGGTTGAAACTGTCTAGCCAGCCTCGTGAGAATGGGCCACAGTAACACACACCATCTTTCTCAGCTTTTCTATTTTTAAATGTATTTTCTATACAGCAAATCATTTCACCTTCATCTTTGTGTTATGAGTAAAAGAGATGTTTTGGGGCTTTTGTGTGTGTGTGAGTGTGTGTGTGTGTGTTGTGTTTTGTTGTTGCTTTTTACACAGGTGTGCACTGCACACCTGTAATTCCAGCACTTGGGAGGTAGAGGCAGGAAACACGCCATGAATGCCAGCACAGGCTTAGCCACAGAGCAAGAGCCTGAATCAAAAACAGCACACACACACACACACACACACACACACAAATCAGTAAGTAAATACACAAAAATGACACTGTGGACAATTCTGTTTGTTTTTAAAGATAGTAAGAGTAAAAGGAGCTGCAGAGATGGCTCAGCACTTAAGAGCACTTACTGCTGCTCTTCCAGAGGACCAGGGTTCATTTCCTAGCACCCACAGGGTAACTCCAGTTCCTAGGGGATCTGTCGCCTGCTTCTGGCCTTCCTGGGCACTGCTTGTATGTGGTACATAGATATACATGCAGGAAAAACACCCATACAAATGAATGTTTTTATTTTGTTAAATATTCAAAACAGAAGAGGAAGGCAGGCCATGGGTTTCCACAGATCGATGGGCCTACGTGCTGTTGTGCAGATAATAAACAAGATGTTTTCTTCAGGCCCTACGATATTTTTCAAAAGCAGAAAAGCAGTCCATGTTCCCTGACAGCAGCGTTGCTATCTTGTCTGTTGCTGTCTTCCCAGCACGTCTTGTCTTCATGGTAACATGCCTCTCTTCCTGCACTGGAGACTGCCTCACTGCGTGTCCTCAGGACCTAGGGACTATGAGCGCATGTCCCCAGGAGGCTCATTTTTAAAGGTTTTTGCTGTAGTTCTCCCGCTGGGACACAGTCTCACTCTGTAGCCCAGGCTGGCCAAGAACTATGTATAGATAGCTGAAGCTAGCCTTGAACTCAGCAATCTTCCTGCCTCTCCAGAGTCAGCATTTAGATCTAAGCCACCACATCCTGCCGCCTTTCGTCTCCTGAGACAGGTGCTTCTCATGTGATCTGGGCTGGCCTCAAACTCATGATTCACCCTGCCTCTATCTCTCATTTTAAAAATCATTTCAGAGACAGTCTAAAAATCAGGTAAGAATATAACAAAGCACACATTTTCGCCATAAAATTTGTTTATTAATTTACTTATTTTATGTTGTGTGTGTGAAACTGATTTTCCTGTGGTACTTCACATATTTGCAGGACTTCTCAGTTGGGAAGGGATTTTATTTTTAATTATGTATTGGGAGCGAGATGTGTGAAAGAAACTGCAGGTGCCCTCAGAGGCCAGAGGGAGCAGATCCCCTGGAGACAGAGTTACGGGTGTGTCTCTGTATGTTTGACTGTTAATTGCTTAACTGTCTGTGAGCTAAATGTGAACAGATTCTGGTATCGTCAATGCTATTGAGGAATCTCCTGTCTCGGTGTTGTGTAAAAATTACTCCCCAATTATCTCTGATTGGTTAATAAAGAATCTAAAGAGCCAATGACTAGGCAGAGGAGACTGTGGGAGAGACTTCCGTTCCCAGTCTGGGGGTCCCAGGTGGAGGAGAATGAGGGTGGGGAGAAGAGCTGCATGGGCCATGAGGAGTCGCCATGAGGACAAAGATGGAGCGGAGGCAGCCAGGGCAAGGCCAAAGGTAACAGGGCATGTGGCTGGGAAGTAGGCCAGATTAGCATAGATGGGTTAGAATACATCAATTATCTGCCCAGTTACAGTGCTTAAAGCTTATTAATAAATGTAACAGGTCTCCATCTCATTATCGGGGAGCTAGAGAGAGCATGGAAAAAAAACTTTAATTCAATACATAGATACATACATACACACAAACATACATACATATCTTAGACACATACATACAAATAATCATGCTTAGCAATGCTGGTGTAAAGAAGCCTCCACTAATATTTCAAAGCCTGTCCTTCACCTGAAAGTTCACTCCTGTGATTTTAGAAGAAATTTTAACAGTGTCACTGACCCCCAAAAGTAGTGCTGTCCTCGGCACTGGGACTGTGCCTCGTGGAGGACTACGGGATGTCTGAGTCACCACGCGTCCTGTGGAAGCCACATTCCCACGGTTTTCCATGGAAGAGGCGCACACTCTCAGATGAGCTGGACAGAAGCCAAACGTTTCCAGCCACTCAGTGTCACACGTTAACAGGAGATGGAAAACATGTGCCTGCTATTGAACTGGAGGATCCTCGCACATCATAAAACAAATGAGGAAACGGGCCATGGCTTCCCATATCTATAATCCCAGCACCTGGGAGGCAGAGGCAGAGGCAGGTGGATCTCCGCGAGTTCAAGAACAGTCCAGTCTAGAGAGTGAGTTCCAGAACAGTCAGGGCTACACAGAGAAAGCCTGTCTCAGCAGAAACAAACAAACAACACATACACACACATCCCAAAGAATAAAAAAATCTAAGCCAGGCCTAGCCATACACACCTATAATTTCAGCACTCAGGGGGATGAGGCAAAATCACCTCAAATGCAAGACTAACCTGGTCTACCTAGTGAGTCCCAGGCCAGCCAGGACTGCATAGTGAGACTTTGTCTCAAATCACCATCATCAATGGTCCTTCCTTCCTTCCAAGTCAGGATCTTACTATGTATCCCAGACAGGTTCCCCCCAACAAACCTTTTTTAAGAAAAAAAAAAAAAGCCTGATTATGGAACTTAGTAGCAAAAACCCAACAGTGTAGTTTAGTTCTTTGGCAAAAAAAAATGGTCCAAAGGTTGAACTATACTTGTGAGAATGGGTCCTTCCCGGTATGTGCAAAGGGAGAGAGAGCACAGTGACCAGCTTTTGAGGAAGCCTCTCTTCCTGTCAGCAGGCTGGAACCTAATCTTTGCCTACAGAAGGACACGTTCCAAAGCCGGGCCAGAATACAGAAGCGCGTTTCAAATTTTGCACACCCAGAATTCACTGCAGCACTACGCCTCTACATCATTCTTTCAGCACTGAAAGTCTTCACCCTGGCTGACCTGGCGCTGGAGACCACAGGGGAGAGGGAACCTTAATAACAGAACTGCCTACATGAGACTGGCCTGTGGGTACACTTTCTTGATTGACTGAGGAAGGAGGGCCCAGCCCACTATGGGCGATGCTACCCCCTGGGCAGGAGGACCTGGGCTGATTATGAAAGGCAACTGAGGAAAAACAAGGGAACAAGCCAGTGGTGGCCTACGATCTGGGAGTGGTGGAAGAAATAAACCCTTTTCTCCCTAAACTTGTTTTGGCTTTTTTTCTTTGTTTTACCACAGCCACATGAGCCAAACTAGAACAGCTGTGGTGCTAACCCTCACCGTTCTTCTGTGGGTGGTAAGCCTGTGTCTGCTCCCTGCTCCTAGCTATGTTGCTGCCTCCCTGCAAGCCATACCTGGTTGCTGCTCTTTACAGACTTACTTTTGGTCTAGGGTGACCTCATCCCCACCCCTACATTCCCCACACACACACACAAAACCACCCACCTGGACTGCTGGTTCCAGTCCTGGCACCTTTGTAGTGTGCTGAGCCCCACCCTGATCCACCAGAAACCCCATGAGTAACAGATGCCCAAGCTCCCACACCATCTGTCCCCTCAACTCAGTACACAGCATCACACCAGTCCCAGCCAGACCCAGTTCCCAAGCCCAGACTTCTCGACATACTGCTCCAGCATACGCTGGTCCACACTGTCAGACTTTCTTCCTCTGTACCTACATCCTCCCCTCCATGACATCCCCCCCCCACATCACCCCTCACCCCACAAAAGACAGAGCCTCCTAGGATGCAAAGCTAAAGAAACACATAAGGATGGGTGGGGGGAGGGAGACCGACCCAGAGGGGACAGGAGCTCCACAAGGAGACCAACAAAGCTAAAAAATCTGGGCCCAGAAGGGTCTGGACCACGAATGGAGAGGACCTAGACCCCCTGCTCAGATGTAGCCCATAGACAGCTCAGTCTCCATGGGGGGTTCCCTAGTAAGGGGAGCAGGGGCTCTCTGACATGAACTCAGTTGCCTGCTCTTTGATCACTTCCCCCTGGAGATATGACCTTGCCAGGCCACAGAGGAAGAAGATCCAGGCAGTCCTGACAAGCTAGGAACAGATGGCAGGAGAGGAGGGCTGCCTGTTTCAGGGGACTAGGGGAGGGAAATAGGGAGGAACAAGGAGGGAGGGTGGGACTGGGAGGAGATGAGGGAGGGGAATATAAAATGAGTAAATTGTAAAAAATAAAAAAAATGGTAAAAAAAGAAACCCATTCTTCCCTAAAAAAAAAAAAAAAGGAATGTACACAGCTCAGCTTTCCAGCTGTTACGTAAATGGTGACCACAGCTGTGGAGAACAGACGGCATTATGGCTGCCTAAGGTTGCCCACGGAGTTCCAAGGTTTCAAGTGGGTGTGGTGTCATTCACGCCCTTGATCACACTGGTGTTCCTGCCTAGATTACCAAAGCCAGGCCATTTCTTTTTATTTCTTTATGTTTC